TGGCTTTGATGGAAGATGAGCATGTCCTAGAACTCTAACGGGTGCAAATAGCAAAAGCTATAAGAGAAACCCCTTCTTTCTACCCAGAGGGCTAGAAAAAGAGGCTCCTTTTATCTTTTTTCTCTACTAGCTTTGCACTAAGACCAGCCCCAGTCATGAGGCTTGCACTGCCACTACAGTTGCTGGCAGCAGAACCGAGAAAAGAAGCCCATAGGGTCCAAAATGGGTATATTATTTTTTCATTCTCTGCTCTTACCACCTCACCATAAAGTGAGGTGTGTGACAGCATGGGGGAAAGGAGCAGCCAAAACTTTGACAGAAACCCACTCTTTCTAACTAGAGGACAGGCAGTTGTAGAATGTGGAGGAAATCCTGGGTGAGAAACCTAGAGAAGGGCATCTCTTAATTCTGTGAATTAACTGACACAAGACCCACACTCACCCTCAAGCTGTACACGAGTGGAACAGACCCAAAGAAGCATAATAAAAGCTCCGAGAACTGAACTATGATATAAACATTGCACAAGTCCTAGAATAACTTTAGAGTGGCACATGTATAGACATACCAAAAACAGCACAGCAAAGCCTTTGGAAACTGAACTGATATTGGATCTATTTCCCAGGGAAGGTTAAACAGAACATGCAGTCTGAACCTGAGTATATTGCCTGCTAAAAAAAAAAATTAAATCATTATCTAGGGGAGGAGAAAAGAAATGGTGTAGATGATAGAGGCTTTGTTCATCCCTCTTGTTACCAAATCAAAGTTGTGACAGAATCACAGAGCAAACAGCAAGGAAAGTCACCTAAGATCTATGAACAAGCCCCACAACTAGGGAGATAAATAAGAAATCACCCTGCAACAGGAGAAGATAGGACAGGGCAAGGATGCAAGCTTTCCCAGTCATGAGTGGCTGAGTGGGACAGAGGCCATAGCAGCATCTTCAGATGCCTCTTAAAGGGGCCATGTCCATGAGTGCACTTTTGCAGTGACGGACCTGCTCACTCTGAGCACCAACACCAGTTTGGCTGCATGGAGGGCACTAGGGACTTACAAAGGGACACTGAGTTGTCAGAGTGAGGGCCAGAGGCTAGGGTCTCTCCCCAACAGAAGTGCCTGTGGTATTCGTTGTTCCTCTGTTGAGCTGTCCCCGCTCTCAGTGTGTGGACTCAGCGCCGCCATAGCTGAGCTATCACCAAATTGGATAACAGAGGTCGCTCTGCCCAGAAGATTCCCTGAAACTCCACCTCCCCCAACTCGTAGCCACACCCAAGCCACATCCAGGTGTGTCCTTGGCAATTCATGTGCTCCTTGGTGAGCAGCACCAAGACACACTAGTGGCATCTGGCCTCATTTTCTGGCATGGCTTCTTGAGGCAACTATATAAGCACAGCATCTGTGGATTGCTTGGTTATCTTAAGAGGTGGCCCCAGAAAGGCACAGGCTGGGGCTAAATTTGGCCTGCAGCTGAGCCCCTCTCAGGACTGTGCCACTGGACACCTACTACACAAAGCCTCACGAATAAAACTGGGAGACTTAGGAGCTTTGCTCAGTACATAGAAACAGAAACAGAAAGGCAGCCAAAGTGGGAAGATAAAGAAGCAGAAACCATATGAGAGAACAAAACAGAGATCCAGGAATAATGGAGTCAGGCAATCTCACAGATGCAGAGTTCAAAACACTGGTTATAAGATGCTCAATGAACTTAGGGGAAGTATAAGTGAATTCAGTGAGAACTTTAACAAAGAGACAAAAAAAAACCCCATAAAAATGGAAATGGAAATTATAAAAGGGAACCAGTCAGAAATGAAGAACACGTTAACCAAGATGAAGAGTATACTAAGTGGAAAAAACAGAGTGGATAAAGAAGAGGAACGAACCACCGATATAGAAGACGGGGAAGCCAAGGACACTCAATCAGAATGGCAAGAAAAAAGCCAAGACTATAATAATAATATTAAAGGCAAAAAGATCCATGTCATAGGGGTACTGGAAAAAAAACCATGATGTTGAAGAGCTATTTTAAGAAATAATGCTGGAAAACTTCCCTAACCTGGTGAAGGAAACAGACCTAAAACCCCAGGAAGCTCAGAGTCCCAAAAAAGATGAACCCAAAGAGGCCCACACCAAGACACATCATAATTAAATACCAAAAGTTCACTACCAAGAGAGGATCTTAAAAGCAAGAGAAAAGCATTTAGTTACCTACAAGGGAGCTCCCATAAGACTGGCAGCCATTTTCTCGAAAGAAACTATGCAGGACAGAAGGGCCTGGCACAAAATATTCAACATGATGAAAACCTAGGATCTACAACCAAGAATACTTTATCCAGCAAAGCTATCATTTAGAGTCAAAGGACAAAAGAGAGCTTCCCAGACAAAAATAACCAAAGGAGTTTATCAACACCAAGCCAGTATTATAAGAAACGTTGGAGGGACTTAAGAAGAAAATCATGTATCAAAAACATGAATAAAGAATAGTAATAACTACATTTCTATAAACAAGTACCTCAAATGGAAAAGAATTAAGTTCTCCAACCAAAAGATAGAGTGGCTGAATGGATAAGAAACAAGACCCCTACATATGCTGCCTGCAAGAGACTCACTTCAGATTAAAAGATAGACAGACTAAAAGGGGATGGAAAAGATACTGCCTTGATGGACCTAGAGGATATTGTGCTGAATGAAATGGGAAAGATAGAGAAAGACAAATATCGCATAATTTCACGTATAGGTGGAACCAAAAGAAGAAATAAATAGCAAAAGCGGTAATAAATTCATAGATACAGAGAATATTTTGAGGGCTACTAGATGGGAGAAGGGTTGAGGGGATGGGAAGAAAAGGCAAAGGGATTAAGAAGTACAAATGGATAGTAGCAGAATAGACAAGGAGATGTAGAGTGTAGCATGGGGAAGATGGTTAATAATATAATAAATATGTAAGGGGGAAGAGGGGTACTAGATTTAATGGAGTGACCGCTTTGTGAGTTATATGGATCTCTGCTAGGTTATGCAACTGAAACTAGTATGTTATTGTATGCCATCTATAATTGAAAAAAACTCATTGAATTGTACAATGTAAATATGAGCAACTAATTGTCTATTATATATCAATAAAGCTGGGGGGGATTTTAAATAAAAGATTAGCAAATTAAAAAAAGTAGAAATGTAAAAATAAATCATAATCTAGTTGATTTTATCAAAACACAGTCTCAATATTTAAAATGTCCAGGATACAATCCCAAATTATTTGATATGCAAAGAACCAGGAAGATGTGATCAATTATCAAGGGAAAGGAAAATCAACAGACGCCAAAGTAAAGACTCAAATGTTAGAATTATCAGATATACTTTAGGACAGTTATTATCACTATGCTACATTTCATTCTTGAAATAAATGGAAATATAGAATTTTTAAAAAGACATAAACTATGAAAATATCTAAGTGGAAATATTAAAAATGAAAAATACAATACTTGAAATTTTAAAAAATATTAGATGGACTCAAATGCAGAACAGAGATAACAGAGAAAAAAGTCAGTGAACTTGTAGATCAATAAAAATTATTCAATCTGAAGAACAGAAAAAAGGATTGAGAAAAAATGAACAGATCCTTAGCAATTTGTTGGACAATATCAAATTCTCTAAAATTTGTATCATTGGAGTTCCAGAAGATTAGAAAAGAGAGATTGATGCAGGAAAAAATATGTAAAGAACTTATGGCTGAAATTTTCTGAAATTTGAAATACATAAATTTACAAGTTCAAGTAGCTCTGTGAACCCCAAACAGGATGAACTCAGAGAAAATCAGGCCCAGACACGTAATAATCAAACAGCTGCAAAACAAAGATAAAATATTTTGAAAGCAAAATATATATATATAATAAGAACACATTATACGTTAAGGGAACGATGATTCAAATGGTTGTGGATTTCCCATCAGAAATTTTAGAACCCAGAAGATAGTAAAACAATATGAAGGGCTGGTTAAAAAATTAAGTGCCAGTCCATAACTTTATAACCACTGGAAATATCTTTCAGAAACTAGGGTGAAATAAAGGCATTCTCAGATAAAGGAACTCTAAGAATACAAGCATCTTGCTCTAGAGGAAAACCCAAAGGTGGAAGAAAAATGAAAGAAGGGAGGAACTTGGATCTTCAGGAAGTAAGAAAGAGCAACATAAATGGTAAATACCTAAGAAAATATGACACTATTTTTCTCTCCTTAAGTTCCTTAAAATATGTATGACTGTTCAAAAAGTATTACATTGTCTGGTAGGGTTTTTATTGTAATAGATATAATATATGACAACTATAAAATGCAGTGGAGAAGGTAATGGAACACATGGTTTTAAGTCTTATGCATTTTACTTGAAGTAGTTAAATTTAACTCTAAACTGTGATAACATAGGAATGTATATTGTATACCTAGAGGAACCACTAAAAAATTTACAAAGAGATAAAGCCAAATAGACAATCCTAAATGAAAATGTAATACTAATATGTATTCTAATGGAAAACTGCTTCTCCACTCACAACACATCTGACATCAAATGTGTGGGGTTTTTTTTCTCCACATCAATCAATTTTCCAACTTTCTGGACCCCAGCTGTTATAATTTAATTCAGTTCTGACAATAACTACCTATGGTTTAAAGGTTCAGTCCCACAAGAGTGCCCTCACTTCAAATACCAGTTTCAAGTAATGAGTAATGAGGGTACCCACATTTCTGTCCAACTTGGCTACAAAGTCAAGGGTTTCTACAACTCCCCTCAGGTTTAATAATTTGCTAGAATGACTCACAAAACTCAGAAAAATGTTAACATGTTTACCAGTTTATTATAAAGGAAATTAAAAAGGATACTGATGAAAAGCCAAATGAAGAAATACATTGGACAAGTTTTGGAAGCATCCCAAGTGCAAGAGCTTCTTTCTCCATAAATTTGGGGTGCACCACTCTCCCAGCATATAGATGTGTTCACTAACCCAGAAGCTCTGCAAAACCCCTACTTTAGGGATTTTTATGGAGGCTTTATCATATAAACATGAAGGACTAGTAACAATGTCCAGCCCTTCTCCTATCCCTGGAGGATGAGGGGGTGGGGTTGAAGTTCCAAGATTCTAATCACAGTTTCATCTTTCTAGTGACCAGCTCCTATCCTGAAGCTATTCAGAACCCACCAAGAGTCACCTCATTAGAACAAATGATGCTGCTATTGCCCAAGAAATTCCAAGAGATTTAGGAGCTCTGTGTGAAACATTCCTATCACCACTGTCACTCAGGAAGTTTATAAGGTTTTTAGGAGCTCTGTGTCAAGACTGGGATTAAAGACCAATTATTAGAACAAAAGATGTTCCTAGCACCCCCCATCAGTCAGGAAATGACACAGGTTTTAGGAGCTTTCTGTCAGGAACCAGAGACAGAAAACAAATATATATTTCTTACTATGACACAGTTCAAGTAATTCAAAAGGAAAAAGGAGAGAACAGAAAAACAAAGCACAGAAGGGCCAACATAAAACAAATAAGTGGTAGACCTAAATCTAACCTTATCAATAATTACATTAAATGTAAAGGGTCTTAATACACCAAATAAAAGGCAGATTTTCTCAGGTTATATTGAAAAAAAATATTTCCCAACTATATGTTGTCTAAAGCAATCCACCAGAAATACAATGATATAGCTAGATTAAGGGTAAAGGGGTGAGAAAAGATATGACAGGCAAATATTAATGAAAATTAACTTGTAATGGCTACATTCATATCAGACTTAGAAGATTTCCAAAACAAGGAAAATTACTGAATATAAAGAACAGTGAAAAATTTTACAAAGAATTTATAGAAACCTAAGGAATTTATGGAACAATATCGAAAGGTCTAACATTCATGTCATTGGAGTCCCAGAAAGAGAGAATAACATGCAGAAAAAAATATTTGAAAAAATAATGGCTAAAAACTTCCCAAATTTCATGAAAGACATAAATTACAAGTTCAAGGAGCTCTGGAAACACCAAATAGAATAAACTCTAAGAAAATCATGCCCAGACACATCATAACTAGACTGCGAAAAAATACAGGTATTGAAAAAATTGAAAGCAGTCAAAAATAATGTATTACACGTAAGAGAAAAATAAATCAAATGGTTATGGACTTCTCATGAGAAAAAATAGAGGCCAGAAGACAAGGAAACAACATTCTGAAAGTGCTAATAAAAAAGGATTGCCAATCAATAATTCTCTATCCATTGAGCATATCCTTTAAGACTATGGTGAAATAAAAATATTCTTAGATGAAGGAAAACAAAAAAGAATTCATTGCCAATATTTCTGCTCTAAAGAAATGCTAAAGGAGGTTCATCAGGCTGAAGAAAAATAAAAGAAATGGAAAACTTGGAACATCAGGAATTAAGGAAGACCAATAAAAATGATACATATCTGGAGAAATATAAAAAGATTATCCATCTCTTTGAGGGTTGTCAATGTATATAGATTTAACAACTCCAGCATAAAATGGAGAAAGTAAGACTTTATGATCGTGAGGCTTACATTTTAAAGTGGTGAAATATCAACTCTAAGTAGACTAGGAGCACTTAGATATGTATATTATAATCTTTAGAACAACCACTAAAAAATAATAGAGATAATTTTTAAAAAGCAATAGATAAAATAGAATATTACAAAATATATAATGAATCCAAAAGAAGGCAGGAAAGGGGAACAGAAAAACGAGGGGGGAAAGGGTAAAAGAAAAACAATTATAAAATTATGAACTTTAATTTAACCATGTCTATACATTAAATATAACTAGTCTAAACATAACAAACACAACAAATAAGAGATTGTAAGATTGGAGTTTTAAACATATATTTAAAATAAGTTTCTTTTGACAGAACAGTTTTATTTTTTATTTAAGTACAATTTACATAACTTAAAATTAACCATTTTTACATGTATCATTCCATAGCATTTAGTACATTCACAATATTGTACAAGTGTCATCTGTATCTGGTTCCAAAACATTTTCTTTTCTTTTCTTTTTTAAGCGAGGCAACCCTTGGTTGACCTCACAGATTGCAAAGACCTTGTCAGCTTACAATCCTTTACTTTTTTTATTTTTATGCCTGCAACACCTGGTCTTCCTAGGTGGTCTCCCATCCAAGTACTAACTAGGCCCAACCCTGCTTAGCTTCCAAGGTCAGATACGATCGGGCTTGTTCAGGGTGGTATGGCCGTAGACTCCAAAACATTTTCATTTCCTCAAAAGGAAATTCCATACTTATTAAGCAGTCACATGCCATTCTTCCAACACCTGGCAAACACTAATCTGCTGTCTAAATGGATTTACCAATTCTGAATATTTCATATAAAATAAATCATACAATATGTGACCTTTGTGTCTGAATTGTTTCACTTAATATGTTTTTAATGTTCATTGATATTTTAACATCAGTAATTCATTTATTTTTATAACTAAATACTATTCCATTGTATGATGGATATACCACATTTTGTTTAGACATTCATCAGTTAATAGATTGGCTTTTGGCTATTGTGAAAACTTATGCTAGGAACATTCTTGTACAAATTTTTGTTTAAACACCTGTTTTCAATTCTTTGGATATATCTCTAGAAGTAGAATGTCTGGATCACATGGTAATTTTATGTTTAACTTATTGAAAAACCACCAAACTGTTTTCCAGAGTAGCAGCACCATTTTAAAGTCCCTCCAGCAATTCAAAATTCTCTACATTCTTGTCAACATTTGTTATTTTCCATTGTTTGGGCTATCATCATCCTAGTGGATGTGAAGTGGTATCTCCTTGTCGTTTTGATTTGCATTTCCCTAAAGATTAGTGACGTGGAGCATCTTGCCATGTGCTTTTTGAACGTTTATATATCTTCTTTGGAGAAAAAGGGCTCTAAGTTACAGGCTCATTTTTATTGGGTTGTCTTTTTGTTGTTGAATCAAAAATTCTGGATTCTAAATCCTTATCAGATATACAATCTATAAACATTTTCCTCATTCTGTATGTTGTTTTTTCACTTTTATTATAGTATCTTTTGATGCACAAACTCTTCAATTTTGATGATATCCAATTTACATTTTTCTTTTGTTGCTTGAGCTTTTTGGGTCTTATCTAAGAAATCATTGCCAAATCTAAAGTCATGAAAATTTACCCTTATGTTTTCTTCTGAGTTTTATGGTTTTATCTCTTATGTTTAGGTCTTTGATCCATTTTGAGTTAATTTTTGTATATGGTGTCAGGTAAAGATCCAACTTCATTCTCCTGCATTGATTTAGCCAGCACCGTTTTTTTTAAAGAGACTATTCTTTCCTCAATTGAATGGCCTTGGCATTCGGTCAAAAATCAATTGCCCATAGATGTATGGGTTCATTTGTGGACTCTAATTCTATCCTATTAATTAATCTCTATTATTATTCTAGTAACATATTGTTTTAATTACTGTAGCTTTGTAGTCAATATTGAAGTGTATCTCTTCCCCAGTTTCTTCCTTCTGTGGCTTTTCAGTCTATCTACTAGCTCTGTTAGTTCTTGTCCCAGGTGGCTGTGGGTAGTTTATGTCTTTAAAAGCTTTTGACAAAAGCCTCTCAGGTGGTCACTCCAGCCCTTAGAGTTCTGAGATGGTAGAGGAGAAACAAAGGCAGGCCCCTGTGCTGATTACTCAGGGAGCTGCCAGACAGGTAAAAATCAGAACAATTCTTTGAGGACAAAGTCTGTATTGCTCGACTACAATACAAACTGTACCAGGAATTCAGGCCACCATACCCACAGCCACCTCTGAACTGGGGGGATAGTAAGCAAAATGTAAGTAATAATAGTAATAATTATAGTAAGCAAAACTGGGGTAAGTAAGCAAAAATGCCACAATTTCTTCTTATTGAAAATTAGCTTTTTTTTTTTATTAAGCACTCCCCTAGTTTTGTAATTTTTAAGTTAGATTCCAGAGTTTTGAAAAAGTTGATTCTGACCATTTGCCAGCTTAATCATTGCTTCAGCAGAGGGATGGAACTGTGGAGCTCCCTTGTCCATCATTCTCAGTGACATCACACCCATTTCTATCAAATTTTGTTATATATATTTTACAGCTCTGTTGTTTGGTACAAACATATTTAGGATTTCTATATTTCAATAGACATTCCTGGAGGATATTTTCACTAAGCAAAG